GTAGAAGATGTTGATGGAGACGAAGATGATGGTTACGATGAAACAATTTTGCCGCTTGACTTCGAAAAAGCTGGACAGATTATCGACGATGTAAATGTCATATTCATACCAGAATCTTGTAATTTGAGGCATTCTTACATGTATATATATGTTTTTTAGGAAATGCATGAAATTATGGTGAGGCCACTTCCGATAGGTATTATGCACCCCTTTGCATCATTATATTTAATATTTCTATAATAATAAGCAATTTTTTATTCCATTTATAGGGGTAAGGTTGACAGCCATTTTCGATTCGTGCCATTCGGGAACCGCGCTTGATTTGCCATACATATATTCAACGCAAGGAATCGTTAAAGAACCCAATATTTTGGCTGATGGAGGAAACACACTTATGAATGTTGGGAAGTCATACCTTCGAGGTGATATTGCAGGAATTAAAACAAGTTTGATGTCATTTGGTAAGAAAGCGACGTCTGGTAAGAAAATAAGCGAGAGAAACAGACAAAATAAAGCAAGTCTAGCAGATGTAGTTATGTTTAGTGGGTAAGTGTTTTTATTTTGTTTTCTACGTCAACTTATTATTAAAGATGTTAAATTCTTTATTGAGCAGATGCAAAGATGCACAAACCTCTGCAGACGCTAATGAAGAAGGTAAAAGTACCGGAGCTATGTCATACGCTTTTGTAAAAACGTAAATATCATTTTTTTTTTTTTATATATAGTGTTTCCGTTTGATATTAGGAATACATACATGACAATTTAAATGAATATTTATTAGATTATCCAAAAACAAGAATGTTACGTATCAACAATTATTAGTTGGAATCAGAGACGTACTTGCAGGAAAATATGCACAAAAACCTCAACTCAGCGCGTAAGTTATTACTGACATAATTTTTGAACTCGACTAGGCCAGCTCCTAATTCACGATTTACACGTTATACTCTAGATCACATCAAATGGATATGAATCAACTGTTTTTGATGTAGAATTTGTAAAGTATCATATTCTCACATTTAGTTACTGTATCATATTTTGGTAGGGGTTTATTGGTGTATCATATTTCTATTATAGTATTTATTTTTTTCTTTGCAAAGAAACACGCATTAATATATACAGTAAAGATGCGGTATATCTATATAACAATGTAATACAATTTTGCTAACATTAAAATACGGAAATTTTATTATTTCTTCAAATATTGCAATTTAACGTAGTTACATTTATTTGATGGGTAATAATAAACATTAATTATATATTTATATTTATAGATTTTATTTAATTTATTAATTTGAATTTGTTTAGTATAACGGTTGTGACAGCTGCATTTGCATTGAATTAAGACGTTTATTTAGAATGCCGATTGATGTTTTATTATCAAATATAAGGAGCTTAGCAAAAGCTCGTGAAAAAGTAAATTACATTTAAATCGATCGAAAAAATTCACGGATCTAGTTCTCGTGATTTGGAAATTTCATAGGGAACATCTCTCGTGTCATTTAAAAATAGTAATAAATCTGTTATTAATAATAATAATATTCATATGCAGTAGTTTATTAGAACTAATAAGATTTTATGACCCAATAAAAATTTGGAAAATGCTTCATCTAAAAAACCAATCTTTCAAATTATACATGTGCATATATAATTCGAAAGTAACCTAATGTCAACAACCTCCAGTCTACAAGCGTTTCTCTCATGGGCTCAAGGTATTCAAAAAATTAAAAAGCTTGTGAGCAACATTCTAGTTATGGTCGATTAATTTATGCATTCTCATTTCTATAGAACACGGTGTGGAGTCTGAGCTTAGTGTTCAAGAAATTCCAGACAAAGGTCTAGGTTTTGTCACCAAACGTACAGTCGTTCGCGACAACAAAAAAAAGGTTGTTATTCCGAAATCACTGTTGCTAAACGCAACCAAAGTTGGAAAGTACGCTAAGGAAAAGGCTCCAAAACTTGAGGAAACTTTTCAATCCTTG